GTAGTGGTGAAGACGGTTGGACCAGCGATCACGCCGACGCTGTAGATACCGCGCTGCCAGGGCAAGCCGACTTTTTGGCCTCTGAGATCGCAAGTTGTTTTTGATGGAAATCGAATAAATTAAATTTTCATTCCATCACAGGTAATATCGAGCAAAATACAAGTGCCTAGGAACGAAATATTTTCATTAGAATTTACAGCAAGCACAGAACACAAATACATAAGTATACCACGTTAATCATCACTGACCATCGAAAGTGAAGCGAGTAGTGAAGTTAAAATCACACGAGCTTCTAAATTGGACTTTTGGCTAAAAGTGAGATGACCATTTCACTACAAATTAATTAATACAGCTATTCACAGATTTCAATCCAAGCTAGCATGCACGGTCGAAATAAAAAATTACAAGGTAAATTGAGCAGTTACGATCGTTAGTGTCAACTTCCAGAGAGATCTCACTTCCTCCCATCCAAATCAAACAAGAATTTGAGATCTGCCATTGTGAGATTCATATTCTTCTTCGAGACCGCTCTACAAATAAAGCAATTTCGCAAAAAAACCCTAACTTAGTATTACTATCAATGTGAAAATAAATGACTGGACAAACCCCTTTAGTACGTTATTTGCCAACTCCATTTTCTTCAATTGCAGTTCCAACACACGCTCTTCAATTGATCCTTTCATTATTATTCTGAATGAAGCTGATATTAAGACACAGTGACGCTTAATATAAACTATTCCTTTAATCAAGTTCCTGTTTAGACACATCCACAATGCTACTCATTTGGGTCCCTCATAAGATGCAGGTCAGGAGATCCACCGCGCGCGAAACACGCAGAGATATAATAGCACGGGGTACGGTAGCCTTCACAGAAGAGGATATCCGACCGTTTATTGGACCTATCTCGTTGAAAATGGACCACATCATTTTGTTAACATATTTATACCCTTAGTGTACATAGTGACAGCGGCGTGCACAGTTACTGTAGCGTGCCGTTGACCCCAGTAGGAATAGCCGTAACTGTAACTGCTGCTCAACTTTATTAGTTTATTTTATTTATTGCTCAAATTTCTAAATTTCTCCCCTAGCAAAACCACCTGACATTTTGCACGAAAAACATGCTTACTTACTTGTGCAAGTGAACTTCTCTCGTCTGGCCCATGCGATGGATGCGATCACGTGCCTGTAGTTCCAATGCTGGATTCCAGTGGAGGTCCATCAGAATAAGATGGTTTCCTGTAACGACACCTGATAGCCTTCCTTTTATGATAATACGTGTCTTGAAGAAGATTCTAGACACAATTCTAAACCGAATTGTCAGCACTTAAGGATCAGGGTCAACGGCCGGTGGGATCAAAGTGCCAACGCGGACGAGCGGAGGATCAGTAAGACGGCCAGAGAAGTGACGTCACGGCTGTGGAGACACAGGACGGCTCGCGGAGTGGCCGAGAGTGAGATTGCCGGCGCGGGAGAGCCGCGCAAACCGGTCCAACCGGTCGCTGGCCAATATGCGGTCAAGCGCGTGACGGTTGACCCTGCTAAGGATTCCCCATAGCTCACCTCCAGTGAGATTCAATCCAACACCGCCAGCAGGTGATCGAAATCAACATCACATTGATTCCGCTCCCCTGTTCATTGAAACTGTTTACACGATCTTGTCTGAAAGAGTACGTTTCCTGCAATACTATGGAACAGACTTATGAAATGGGAGACAACCTTTCGAAAGGTAGAACTTCTCCACTGATCGTTGAGCAGTCCACTTCCGGGAAGCGTTTTTTGATATGCTTCTCGAGAATCTTCAGGAAGGAGGTCCACTGTGATACAATGACACTGAAAAATAGTTATTTTTGATTACATCTGATTGATTACAAAAAACAACTACTTTAGTCTGCATATGTTCAATAAAGGCTGGAAAAGAGGACAATGAAATAAAGCAAAAACTTCAGAGTGCTTTTACTTTTCGTAGTGTACTCATAACAAGGAAAGGGCTCCACGAATGGTCATGACTTCAGGCTACTTGCTCTCATCCAAGCACTTACCTTTACTGTTTCTATGAGCTTAGCGAATTTAGGACCTGGTTTTCAAAAAAAAATTGAGAACACCGCCGCCAATATCTTTGTGAATGAACATACGAATCTACAAGATTCAGCTAATTCAGTATGCAGCAGTATGTTCAGTCCTCATCCAGCAAATAAATTTTCGATGACCAATACAAAACAAAATTACCATTTTTCGCCATCTTCCAGAATGTGCCTGAGAAGATCAAGAGCGAGTTGAATCTAGAAAAAAAAAGATTCTTCTCAATAATGTTTCCCATACGAGTGGATACACAAAAGTGTTTACAACATACCTTGGCACTGATAAACTTTCTTTTAAAAATGTAAGTGACATCGTCCATCTTCTCCGGATCCAAGAAACTGTCTATGGTCAAGTTAGCTAAATTTTCTTGCTCTTCCGAAGTGAGCGGGTTTTCCGAGTCAATCGACTGGAAAGCCTCCATATCCACAGCCTAAAACAATGAAAACATTCGATCAAGTTCCCAGCTGATTCAGGTAAAAATGAACTTACATTTTTGGTCAAACTGAAATGAGTACATGCCTGCCGGAGGCGCAGCAAAATCACCAGCATACAACCCATTCTTCCAAATTTAGAATTTGGATTCGAATTAGCAGCAGATCCTGAAGTGTTGAACATGCGCGTTGAAGAAAAGATTCTGACCGGCTGGTCAGAGTCCGCGACCCGTCGCGCGATTCGCGCGAATCGTGAGAAGGATCACAGGCATCAAAAGTGCCCCGAGTACCGCTATTATTGCATGATGTGATGGTAGACTGACGACTGGTTCATGATTCCACTTGTTTCATGTTCAGTGTTTCAAATGTTCAAATAGGGCACTTGCGATTTTTGCGATTCGCGCGAATCGCGCGACGGATCGCGAACTCTGACACCAGCCATACGCTTCCAGCTCACCAAGAAAGACTTTTTTGTTAGTTGAAGGTGCTATCTTCTTTTTTGTACGAGCACCCTGTACTTCTTCAACTTCTTCTTCTGTTATCATTTCTCTAACTTTCGCCCTGGAAATGAATATATCTAACTAAATTTAGCACTCACGTATAGGTACTCAAACACATAAAGTTCCCAACATTTTTTTCAGTATCTAAGATTGAAGGGATAACCTTCCTTACTTCCATTCTATCGAGCCTGACGGTCGCGTAATCTTATGCATATCTTATGTATTTCTTCTCTTCCTTTGTATTATTTACCTTCTTTCTAGTTCACGGCGTATTCTAAGTTCTTAGTTCATAACTCCTTACTCACGCATCATTTACCTTAGTTCTAGTTCATGGCTTATTCCAGGCTCCTAGCTCATAATTTCTTACTCATGCATTATTTGCCTTCTTTCTGGTGCATGGCTTATTCCAAATTCCTAGTTCATGACTTCTTGTTCAAGTTTCTCTGAGCACGACAATCGGATTTGTCATGCAATGGACAATCATTTCTAGGTTGACAAGATTAACACCATTTATGTGTTTTTACCCACATCTTCTGTGCATGGCGCAACCTAGCCTTTTAGTTCATGACTCATTTTCCATATTTTCTCTTAGTATCTCATCCTCCATGCCTTTTCTAGCAACAGGATGAGAGAAACGGTTTCTTTTGATCGGCAGTAGCGAAATTCAAGGGCACTTACCTTGATGCTTCATACATCAAATCATATGCTTTTCGTTCGCCTTCAGAAAATTGCAACATGTGTTCATGACTATGTTTTTCAGGCAACTCCACCTAAACTGCTATAACATTTGGCTATTTTTTAAATGAAAAAGAATTCAAAATTAACAAACGAGTGGCATCTTGGATATTGGTGATAGGAAGTTCTTTTCTCTCCGGAGGACATAATTCCTCATCAGTAAATTGAGTCTTTCCGCAGATTTCTCTGTAAAGATTACTATTATTCAGTAAAACTGCTCCAACACGGGAAACATCACTTACTCGTCGCCGACGCGACATACTCTTTCCAAAACCATTCTTCACTGAAGTAATCGACTTTTAAAAATCTGTAAAAGAATGTAAGGGTTATGTTGGAAGAAAAGACGAAAATGTACCATAATGGATGAATTACTTACTTCATCAAAGAGTACAAATCCCACAAGTTGTTATGCAACGGCGTACCAGTAACACACCACCGGGCATCGGCTATCAGCGAGCACACTGCCTGCAGAACGCTTGCAAATGATACTTTCAAAATTTTAAAATCCACTACAAAGACAACACGTCGATAGCATCGAAATAAAATTTTGAACTGAAACCGGAACACGGAACGCCGAAACTGTACATCGCAATTTTAAGAGCAGGATTAATAGCAAACTAAACCATCTGGGACAGATATCGGAGAAAAATGTATGAAATATGAAAAAGAACGGGCGAGACTTGGTCTTTTTGTTCTTGAAAAGTCAGTCTGAACTCTTCAATAGGACTAAGACACCACAAGGAAAACAAAGTAATATTGCACGACATTCCTTTTATGATGTCTTTTACATAAGCCAAGAACATTTCAACAGTACGTAGACGATTCCACATAGAAAATAAATAAAGATTCACTGAAAACATCGCTCACCTTTGATGCCTTCGTTTTCCTATTTTTCACAACGTGCGCCTCATCGAGAACGATTCGGGCCCAGTGGATGTCAGCCAGCGGGCTCTCTCCCTTCAAATCATTTCTATAGCAGGTATTTATAAAAAATAATGAATAAATATTCTTGAATTGTAGAAACAAATAATCAAGGCAAGGAAAACGCTACTAAGTTCCTCGCAACTAGTAATTACATTTCCAAATAAGTGATCTGTTTGGGGTCCACATGTCGGCAGCTAATTTGTATAGCAATTTTGGGTCAATTTCGAAATGCTGCCAAAGGTTTGCTTAGGGCACCGTCATCTCTGCGCCCAACGCAGGTTTTGCGAGAGGCGTAGGCTCTTCACCTCACCCCGACCGAACTCCGCAAGTACTGCCGTAAAAATACTAATTTAGTCACATTTTTGTGATAAGTGGTCATCAACAGTCGGACAAACAGACTTGCAGTTAATGATTTTCGGCTCATTATTAGGAACGATCCAGCGGCTCTCGTGAGTGCAGGCTTTCGAACTTACACTACCAGTCTGTCCTTGCCTGAACCTTCGTGTTCTCAGAATTGAACTTGCAAGTGACGAAGGAAGTCACGACAGATCTGACCAGTTCCTTCCTGGCTATGTGTCCCTATTTCGAACCTCAGACAAAACGTGGACGAAAACTTTTCCTCTAAACGCTATTTTCCGTCACTGTACTCGGCAATTTCAAGCAATCCGTCTGATCGAGAGAGCTATGGCTCAGGGATCGCAAAGTCCAACACTGCTTCAGGCAGGTGTCAGACACTGCGAGTCGCGCGACTGCACTCGCGGATATTCATCACATTCTGACACCCTGCTGCAGTCACCGCCACCACAAACACAGCGCATGAGCCGTGCGTGAACCGTAGGTGAATAGCGCGTGTGTTTTGTGCGACTGTAATGACTGCAGCATAGCTGTCAATGAATGAAAACCGCGATCGCGATTCGCGAGCGCATTCGCGCAAATGCGAAGTCTGACACCTGTGCCGTACGAAATGGGAATCCCCATTATTGAAAAAACCAGTTCGAAATAAACCCACGAAATGCTCTATGCAACAAAAATACCAACGAACACATAAGCAACTGATTATACCTTTCCTGTCGTGCTCCTTTCGATTTCATTTGCAGCCAGGGTGTAAGTTGTGATCACAACATCCGCTCTTGCAAGCCTGAACTGTTTTTACATGAAAAGAACCTGTTCGCACTTGAAATGTAAAATAGACTCACATTTCATGCTGAACGTTTTTCCTGTTATTGTGATAAACTTTTATCTTCAGCAAGTGATCTTCGCAACGAGATCTGATTTCTGTCTCCCAGTGATAAATTAGCGCCGCAGGTGCAATCACTAGAGTGGCGTTCGATGGTATTAATCTGAAAGGTGGAGGGTTCAGTGAGTGGGATGAGCGTCAACCGACTTATTTGGAATCAGCAAGCACCACGGATCCCTTTGCTAGAAGGTATTTTTGGGATAGTTTCGCATGTTGTAAGGGGACACTGAATCTCCCTACCAGGAAACCATTCGGACAATTTGAAAAATGCAAGCTCGCACTCCAACGGGTTCCATGATTTACCAGTGACGACATGGAGTACAATATATATAAGCGTAATCTCAAGCAAGCTGATCAGCGCATAGTTGGGAGGACCAGAGTCAACCCTGCGTTGCGCAGTTTTCAACGGCCACGTTGCGCAGTTTCGCCCGATTAGACACGTTCTCTCGCGCGAACATTCACACTCGCATGCTCGAGCCGTCTGCGTCTCCGCCCATACAGCGTGCGTTGAGGATCTCTCAACGTGCCGTTGCGAACTGCGCAACGCAGGGTTGACTCTGCTCCTGACACCCAGTTTAGTTACAGAACGTATTTTATTCCCAAAAGACTTCTCCAATGTTGCAACTGTAGGGAACGAGCAACGGCATCCGAATCGGCATGTGAATGAAGCTTCTTCCTTGTCGTCCCTCCTTATTGAGTACACCTGTTCCACAAGAACTTTCCATCGGTCCCAATTCTGTATTGGTTACAGACAGGTCTGTCTTTGTATCACCTAGCCAGTTCGTGATTTGGACGAACTCTTAGTGTGAAATCCTACCGGGAATGATCTTGCGGTTGAAATTACAGTGCGGATCGAATGACTTCGTAGACATGATGTACAGCAGAGACGGCGATTGCGCGCAAGCGTTAGGCAAACGGTACACATTGACCATGCGCAATGTCTTTATTCCAAATGTGGGTACATATCACTCGCCCTGGCTCTATCGCAGCATTTCGCATTTTAACATCTCTAATGCTGTTATTTCATTAGCCATCATCTGTTTCGTCTGCTCAAAAGAGATAGCAGGACACGACTGAGGGCTAGCTTAGTTTAGGGGTGTCGTTCACTTAGTGACAGAAAGCCAACACTTTTCGTGTTCTGCTGCAAGAACTCCAGGTCCGCTCATGATCAGCGGTGGACCTGAGAATCCTGCAGCGAAAATTTTTCGTACTGCGAAACGCGAAAGTCGTCTTAGAACATGCCGTTGACAATCCGTCGACTGTTCTATGCTACGAATTCTCGCAGATTTGTCAGTCACAGTCTGCGGCCATAGCAAATCCCACGTGAACAGCATAGCAGTAGACGAGATGGGCAGTGAGGTTCCGTCTATCACGATCGATGTCGTTCCACACATACATTGTAGCTTGGTGATCAAGAGGCTTGAGGCCGTATCACTAGATGCTTTGTCCAGCGACTGGACACATCCTCATTCTGGATCTTTTATCCATTCATAGCAGCAATCATCAGGGCGCAGCAATAAGGCGACAGTTTCGACGGTCAAGTCGCGTAATCAGTAGTGAAAAGTGAGACCGTAGATGTCATATTCTCGATAGGTGAGGAATGCCTCCTACAGGTATCCAGTTGTGGAACTGGAGTAGGTCAACCACACGGTAGAATGAGTTCTTTCGATACATACTGATGACGGAAATCTTCCCAAAATGAATTAGCGTAACACTTTGACGAAGATTTTTCTAGGTTCAAAGGATTCATAAAAGAAACGGCTTTCTCCATAGTGTTCCTTTCCATCGTCCGTATGTCAATACCGCTTATTGTTACATGTTCAAAGCGAAAACTACACTGCCGGCTGATGATTACTACCTGTTCGAGTCTGAAGCCCGGAACTCGGTTAAAAATCATGCAGGGTTTTGACTGCAACAAACTGATCAACTTGAGCAAGTAGCAGTAGCCCTTTCGTCTTTAGATCCGCACACCAACACTTTTTGACCGATCTGTCAGGATCATCCCTCCGATCATCCCTTACACCAAAAGAATCAGTAAGGGACCGATTCTAGCACACAACCATTCCCAGAGATCCTTCAGTAGCATGAAGCGATCAAACGAATACGTACAGGAGCATTACATAACCACCACTAAATCGACATTAAACGGATGCAACTAAAGTCTTTAAAAACACCAAAAAATGTCTTACCCTGCCTCAATGATGCGCTCCTTTCGTTCCTTGTCCTGCTCATTAGTACCATCGCGCCTTCTTTGCTTTCTAGCAATTTTCCCGTCCACAATGAGCGCAATCATGGACAACGTCTTACCAAGGCCCATTTCATCAGCTAAATAGAACATATTTGGTGCCGTTTCACGAATAAATAATTAATATACAGTGAGGTAAAACAATCAACACGCAGCGATCATTGCTTAGTCCGCTACTAGGTGTTTAGGAATCAAGTCGACTTTATGCCGGGATCTCGAACAAAGCCCCTAGAACATCCGCAAAAAAAACACTGAGCTAAACGCAGACTTAACAGGTCTCAAGTCATCCCATGCACAAACTACGAGTTTGAATATTCCGGATCCAACTGTGAGATGCCATGGAAAACAACGATCAACGCCTACCAGTTTATACTCCACTCACTGCTACAACAGTTCACACATCCTGACCTGGATCGAGATAATGGAGCTCATTGCCTCCCCCCCCTCCCCCCTCCCCCTTTTTCTTCACGATTTGGGGCGCGGACCAGTCCACAGTGGCCACGAACTGTGGTGGTAGAGCGTTTTCGAATTTACTCCGCAAATTTACTTAATTTACTTAAGTTACCCGCGGGCAATCGAGTCGACCCCCCCCCCCTAATCGTAAAGAAAGTGGGGGAGTCGCTCTATTTTGGTCGAGTTCTGTACCTCATACATTGTGCTTACTGCGCGACTATTCACTGAAGAGGTGATGACTCAGCGTGCCCTCCATCTCAGAGGAGGCGTTCCTAACAGATCTTAAGTCTAGGCTCTAGAATGGTAGGATGGTCAGCTACCTGGATGCAGAAAGCAGATGAATTATCAAACCGTAGAAAAGTATTCACTAATTGCATGGGCTTTAGAAACAATGTAGAATTGAGATGTCTGAATTCGTGACAGGCTATCACGATCACCATCCCTACTATCACTTTCACTGTTTGAATGTGTCCTTAACGTTTTACTCAATAGTCTTACATAATATATCGCATACATCTAATTCTCATCGATGAATACTACTTCCAGGGCGAGCACGATTACGTGTTACGTGTTAGAGGAGGGTGGGGGGGGGGGGGGGTGGGAGGGGTAGGATCTAAAGCAAGGCGGGCCCTTAGTGTCATTGTTCCTTGAATCTTCGCTAAAGTGGGTGACGATCCAGGGGTCCGAGATGTCAGAGCATAAACGCAGGAAAACAGATGATCTAAGCGATTTCGAAGCTGCTTTTGAGGCACTTGATCCTTGCTTTGCTTTAACTTATCACTCTCGGTAACCTTTTCACAAGAGACAGCAGCGGAACAGGAAAGGTCAGAATATGGGCTCAAAAAGAGCGAGATTCTCGCGATTGCCATGATGTCAAAAAGAAATAGATAAAGAAGAACAGTAGAGGAAAAAAACGACCAGCAAAATTGAGGAGTAGACCCACGAGAATTCCTCTTTGGGAGACAATGATTCTCGCCACTTCATCCATGTCAGGCCCGACATTTGGTGCTCCTTCAAGGGGACCAAAAGTCCTTCTGGAGTTTCTGTGAGTTGTTGAGCGTCTGGTTGAGATGTGATGGCTCTGAAGAGCTTATTCAATCCAGTATAGTAAACCCTCAAGTATCTGTATGGGTCTATTCATTAATAACACTCCACAGCCAGCGATAGGAAACTAGTTTGTACCTCCCTACCTCTGGCTGGCCTGTTTTACTTCGATGTGGAGAATTGTCCTGGTTAGTGCCACGTTCGGTCGCCTGCCTGTTTGGTATCTTTTATCCATTTGCGGCTGCATTATGGTTGGTAAGGTTATGTTCAAAGGTTTTAGCAAGAAACACTGAAGCTGCGGTTTGCTGCTGTATCCGCATCGCGCTGTGCCGCGGAACGCTCACGATGGGTACTTTCCGCTGGAATAATCAAACGGAAAATTTGCTATTGCTCTGTGTCTAGGGACTTTCTGGTTTATTTTTAATTGCTGATTGATCATGAACATCCTCATGGACCTTCGTTGGCCAGAGTCAACCCTGCGTTGCGCAGTTTTCAACGGCCACGTTGCGCAGTTTCGCCCGATTAGACACGTTCTCTCGCGCGAACATTCACACTCGCATGCTCGAGCCGTCTGCGTCTCCGCCCATACAGCGTGCGTTGAGGATCTCTCAACGTGCCGTTGCGAACTGCGCAACGCAGGGTTGACTCTGGTTGCGAATGGCTTAAGGGAGGAGGGACAGTTTGTGCATTCTGGGGGAGGCTGGTCTCACCAGCTCCCTCTGTGCCACTCATTTGGCGCCGCCCTTCTCCAACCTGCTTAACCTTGACTCCGCCTCCCAGCCATCGTGAGCATTGTCTTTAAGGAAGTCCGGTACATCAGTGACGGTGTCGTTATCTCACCAGCACTTTTAGAACTTCAAAATTTCAAAACACCCACTTGTGTAATTCGACGAGTGCTTTTTCGTGAATACGATTATGTGGGCGCAGGGCTGCATCATGATGGAATCAATTCATGAGAACATTATTAATATTATCTGAAAACAAGAGAGCCACAAAAGCCACTACCCAGTGAGCTTTGATAATTTCTCCACTTACTAAGAGGAAGTGGCCGACGTTCATTGAATCCAGGAATCTGAGGATGCTCCTCATCCATTATTTCCACGACTTCTTCAACCTCCTTAGGCTTAGGCCTTTAAAAATTTGTAGTAGTAATGACAATACCAAACTTAAAGCAATATTTTAGAAGAACATATCTGTTTTCTTATTTTTAACTCCTCGCGAACATCGTTAATGTGCTGGAGGAGCTTTTCTCCACCATCTGGTAGGGCGAGTGGACGAGTGGTCAGCGCCTAAAGAAATAGCGCTACATGTTACGAACCAATACCAAAACTACTCTACAACAAAGAATTCGCTTACATTCAAATTTGCAAGTTTGTTTTCTAGAACTCCAGTGGTATCATGTGAAAACTTTGACACCGTCTTGACCACCTAAAACACAAGAGTTTTGAAAAATGCGACCAGCAAAGGCCGATGTCAGACTTTGCGAATCGCGCGATTCGCTAGCGTCCGCGGTCGCGTTGCGGTACCAGCCAATTGAGTGATTCACTGGCCGCGACGCGACCGCAGACGCTAGCGAATCGCGCGATTCGCAAAGTCTGACATCGGAATAACAACTCAGCTGGCTGGAGTTCAATTAACTAAAAATTGTTACTATTGATACCTTGACTTCCTCAGGCGAGCGCGATCTCTTGTTACAAGGTGGGGCTTCCCGATTTGTAGAGCAGAAATCTCCATTTTCCTCATCGGAGGATGAATCAATTGTTATAACGTCAGGCTCCGCATCACCTCGTGAGCGATCTATTTTGTCAACATCACTTTTTCTACCCTTGTCCTTGCTTTCGTAGAGCACCACAATATCGTCCGGCTCAGGATATGCATCCATTGTTACAATCGACTCTTCCACAATATCTTCATCTGGATTCTCGAGAGCAAGTTTACGGACATCGACCACTTCTTCACCAACGGTCGAAAATGGTAAAACGTGCCGGGGAACCTGAAAAGCTTTCCGCTATTCAACAAGGAACAGTTTTTCCAAAAAAGCGACAATTGAAGTGGATGAAAGAGGCACAGAAGTAGAATGTATAGGCGTAAGGAAAGGAGGGAGTGGTGGGAGGGGTAAGGCATCCCTCTGCAATCGTTTCTGCCGGCGCGCTGATTTCATTCATCATTACAATTTCATGTTTTCCTCTGCTAGCGCAAACGTACAAGCTGATGTAGATACAAGCGAAATCACTCGAAAATAGATGATTTTCGATAAATGGACGAAAATAGAAAAACAGGGTGCTAGCAAGAGGCGGGAGGAAGGGCAGCCGGTGGTGCTCACTGTATGCTCGTCTACGCCCCGTCAGCGAAACAGTGCTTAAGCGTTAGTCTAGGACGAGGTAAGGACTGTCGGGTGGGCAAGCCAATCAGCCACTCACTATGCGACTATAGTAACAGCGTGCGAGATCACAGGGGCGAGGACGAACAGATGATGGACGCCGCCGACTGCCCTCCCAACTACAGTAGCGCTATGAATGGAATAACTAACTTCATCCTTCCTCGACTTCGACAGCGTCTTCCGTAGCAGACGGTCTCGTAACTTTCCCTTCGAAGATGGATCATTCGCTAACCGGGCAGAATAGGGGGATAGAGGTTCTGAAAGAGTACTCTGTGAAAGTTATTTCAAGGCGTTTTCTGACCCGTTAAGACCGCCTGTAGTGCAGTATAAGCTTGAGTATTGAAAAATCCATACGCTACCCTAGAAGCAACAATACCAAAGAATATCAAGTCTCAAAATACCTACAAAAATGACCCGTTGTGACTTAAAAGTTGCCCCCTAGCTGATCGAAAACAAGGAACTGCTAAAATATAAACAAGCTCAATAAACAGTCACATACTAACCGTCTGGGTCTTGCCCTCCGATGAAAGATCGACTTCGATCAGCAGCAGCCCCTTAACAACTAAGATGCATTGAAAAACCCAGAAAAAAAAACGTTGAAAATTACCTATTTGGGACATTTCATCTACAGTGAGTGAGGCCAACGAGTCTGACAGCGACGGTCCCTGAATACATGGAAATTGACTACTCGGAATATAAAAAGGATAAGTAATACTTACAAATTGAGGGACCACTGATCTTGGAGTTGACGTGAATGGAAACAGGCGGCGCTCTCTATCAAAAAATCGATTATTTTTTGAAAAAGGCGGGCATTCTCTTCAATAAGAAGCCTGCTTTACGCGCTATTTTTTCCATCAAGCACTTAAGCGTTTACAGACTAAAAACAGAATGTAGAGAAAGGATAAAGGAGCCAGGCCCAGCCTACGCGGAATCCTTAAAAAAAACTCACTGATGCTGGTAGTTCTATTGGAGTTATAGGAGAAGAGCAAACCACATCCTGAACAAAAACCTTACGAAAAAGGTTTGTCTGCAAAAAAATAGCGCAATCAGCATCATCACCTGAACGGAATCATTCGAGGAGCTACGTAGACCGTCCACCTCTTCGTCGTTGCTTTCAGGCAGCTTCTGCAAATCTAATAATACATAATATCACAGTTCCTGTTCCTTTTAGCTTAGGCCAAACGCTGCGACCCCCTTGCAATTTGCTTGCGACGAGTATAAATTGAATATGGGTCAGTTGCGCTGCGATCGCACGATCGATACACATCTGATCCATATCCGAGCTACAAGCGAATTGCAAAAAAGCGTGGCCACATCTCTGCATTTGGCTGATGTAGGAAAATCATCAATACTCAAGACATAGAGCGATCATACTCTGCGCTTCCCTTGCAGTTCGAGTGCCCATTTAAGACAGCATCGATTGTGCGATCGCATCTCAAACCAGTTTGCAAGCGAACAGCAAGGGAGTCGCAAAGTATGACACGACCTAACGCCTCAGGAACGCCCATAAAAACCTTGTAGTAACAGATAAACGGCTTAATAATCGTTAACGGAATGCCCACACCACAACTCCATCATTAACCCTGCATTTTTGCAGCGCCGAACGATAGTGCGTCGGCCCCACGATGCAGCATTCGCATCTCTCGACATCATAGCACCTTTGGAATGGCGGACTGCATGTAAAGCGCAGGATCTCTGGAACACGATTAGATACGTATCGACCGGTTGTTCGTGTGGCCACGCAGTGATCGCGAATGCGCGTAAATGTATAGAATGCGCGGGATTATACACTGATGGCGGGACCAACCTAATCGATACGTATCTAACTTTGTTGGTAAATTCCAGGGTGAGGTAAAGGAAAAATGGGCCGCATTACCACGCACCCAGCCTTCACCCGCAGGTAACAAACTCATATTACAAGTACTTGGTCAACAAGCCTCATATTTTCAATGAAAGGAGGTAGGGTTAGTATTTCAAGTATATGGAAGATGAAGTGAAGAAAAGGGATCACTGAGTGAAAAAAAAACAGTTGGACCTTTGTAATCCACGCTACCATTTACAGGCCTTACAGGCCCGATCAAAACCAGCACACCAAAAATGAGGTTTGGTGACTTTTTTTCTGCACCTCACTTTTGAAAGCATACAGAGTAAGTTATAAGTGAACATAGATGTCGTAGAAACATGACAAAGGGAACTGAACCACGAATAAGAAAAATAAGGATAAAATGAAACAAATATTAAGAAGTGAAGGGAAGTTTTTTGGGAAACAAAAGCGAAAAAAAACCTCGGGAAGGTCCAGTCGTGCATTTGGAGAAAGATCGCGATCATCGTCATCATCAGTGAGCTAAAAAAAAGCTGAGAGAGCTTCACTGGGCAAAAATATTTTTTAAAGCATAACATCTATGACAAATGTGGGACGGCCCTTGGATGTGGTTCGCTTAGACTTTTTCGCTATTCGCAGTGGGAAATTTATTCGCTGTGGGTACCTTAAGTTCACTCATTACCGAGGATGGACCTGAGGTTCTCGCAACGAAAAAAAGAACCGACGCCCCAAAAAAGCGGAAGAACGACCCGGCAAAAGCGAAAAAGTTGCTTTCTACCCAAGTGAACCACATCCGTTTCCTTCGAAAAAGAGCTCATAACCATCGGAAATGACGGATAATATTTTGCTGAATGTGGGAATTATATATGAAAACTTACGTATCCGTTAGCAGAATTCTCTCTATAACATCGAAACGAATCTGACATGTCCCTGAAAACAACTTTATTGACAAGAGTTGATTTTTCTCGAAAAGTAACAAGCACATGGTTCCAAAAAAAAACAGATCGAACGGACAAGCTCTCCGAAAGAACAATCAAATTTGAAATCTTTAAATACGAGCGGAACTACCTAGCAGTACGACTGTGTCACGATTGCGCAGTCAGACTCGTCTTTAATAAATTGAATTATTTTAGTGCAGAGACTATCTAGATAAAGCTAGTTCTCTGGAATTCCACAGAGCATTGCGCTATGTTGAAGGAAAAATTGTGAAATTACAAAATTCTTACTTTACTTTGTAATAGCGAACGTGTTCAACTTGCCATAGCGTCGGCTAGCCGTGAATCTACTGTAGCCGTTGAAAAAAAATGGTCGCATTATCGTTCACCATAATAATCGAATTATATCAAAGCAATGTTTACTTCTAGAGGGCATTTTTTGAGAAAAAAGTACAGCCTGAACATTTTTTTCCAAAAATTTGCGCAGATCTAGCTTTTGGAAACAAGCCAGCAGATGCGCTGCGAAACACAGCAAGCAGGTAAGTAGTTATTTATTTATGTCTAAAATTCTGGCTAGAACTAGAAGGGAGTTCCAACAAGCAGTACTGACAGTTTCGAATTACGAGACAGTACGTCTAGACTTCATTGTTGAGGGTGAAGTAGCTAGAAGTAACCATTGAACAGCGACCCTATAAGAACTGGCACAAAAACGAGCACCGAACTTCATTTGAGTAGAAATTGAATAAATATGTCATTTGTGTTTTAAATCTGGAAGCTCATATAGACAGTACCTTCCGTTCCATACCAAAACTACCACTCACCCTATGTTGAGGGATGTATGTATAGGTAACAAACTACACGACGCAGAAATTACAAAAATTTCGACTAAAATTCGCAACACTTTTTTCCACCTTTCTATTCCACTGTTTGTCGAAGCTACAACACAATTTCGCCAGACATTTCCCCTCATTCCCTCGTCAAAAGCTAGCCGAATAGACGCTTGAGCCCTCTTCCTCGGGTAAGTAGCCGAATAGACAGTTGAGCCACTGTAAGGGCGCCGCCAGACTGCGCCTGCCTCGCAAGATCGCAGCACCACAGGATCGATACGTATTCGGACCACACTCAGACTGAAAGACAGCTGCGAAGTATAAGGCCCATGCTAACCCGCGTGTGCGTGGCAAATTCCCTCATAATTACCAAGGGCAGCGACAAAAGCAGATAGCTACATAGGCAACTGATTCTAATCCAGGGGCCGTATGCTATGCTTCCCCGAAGCTAAGTGATCCAAAGTTTCCTTTAAATTTATTGTTTTGAACGATATAGTTTCTTCATTTTCAGTGCATGTTTACTTTTACCTACATACATACATTAAATGTAGGCCTTCATCAGGGCAATCCCAGTTGGGAAGACAGAGAAAATTTAAAGGAATTTTCGTCCCCTAACCCCTTCGGGGAGGATAGCATACGGCCCCAGAACTGCGCCCTTTTTTCGCAGCTTCAAGATTGCTTGAGGCGTTTTCGTCAGTTGACGAATATGCATCGGTTGACAAAGTTCAGATTAAGAGATGAGACGTTAATGAAATAATGGCCTATCTCTCTACCCGCTCACGATATGTCTCACTTGGTTCAAGACAGTGCCTTGAGCGGTAGCGCCATCTCGGCCCTCTTGCTGAGAAACCACAAAAATTATTGAGTTGGACTGCATGGTTCGCAAACTAATGTAGATAGGAGACTAAGAGTTCCTATAGCTGTGACTGAAAGTCAAACGCCAACTCCATTCAAAAGGAAGTATTCAATGACAGTCACTTAATCCTTCACCCTAATAAATAATTCATTTTCTAATGAGTCACTGTATTTCCTAGTGAATTTTAGGCATCAGCCGCATCGAAACTGACATCTGACTGTCCTCTTCTGGAATTTCGGTGAAAGTCTATTTGGAATCAGTCTTCAAAGTCCGACAGCCGACATCACGAGCTATACGAAAATCGGGGCAGCAAAAAATCGTATTCGCATTGCTACTGCAGCTTTTTCTTCAAACTCATCTGTTCCATCGACTTTTCTTAAAAGCAACCTCAAACTGCATTTGAAGAGAGAAGGGTGCTGTAACTAGGTAAATAGTCCAGCTAATGAAGCTCACTTTAACGCAAACGCGCTCCACGGAGAAGCCGCTAATCCACGTGTGATCTACGACGACGATGGCGGATTCCGAGCTATCCTTTCATTCGGTGATTGGCTTTCACCGCTACTAGTTCTCTACTGATTCTACTCATCCTACTGATTACTTGTTCTACACTAAAATGCCTGGACACATCTCGGAGTGGACTGCACAAGATGTTATTGATCTCGTAAGCGATGTTCTTGATGAGAACGAAAAGAGCATCATCATACGGAATGTAAGAACAAATATTTTAGCATTTTTTCCGAATATTTCGAGTGAATACGGTAATTTTTGACATTTTCAGAACATCAACGGCCTCGTTTTGATGGAATTCGCTTCTATGTCGTTTCTCGTCAAAGTGGTTGGATTGAGCCATCGCTCGTCATTTCATGTAAGTTCCACTCCCCTTCAACAAATAACGAGTTACGGTGCAAACGTGGTTGGGCGGGGGGAGCGGGACCACACGGCGGCGCTGCTCTGATCGCACGTACCTCTGCGGTACCATTGTATTCCGAAACAGCTACGGTGCGGCGAAACAGCAATGGCTCTAAAGCCTAAGCTTCAGAGGTGCAGGCAACAGAGCGCCGCGCCACCGCGTGGTCCCTCCCCCTCCCCCAACTAAGTTAGCACCGCTATAACTTCATTTTCATGAATTTCAGGTGCTTGTTCGTCTGAAGGACCACTTGGGGATCACCGTCATCTTCCCGAACGATATGACCGATGAGGAGGCACGAATTCGTATAGTGGTCCCAATTCGACCATTTCAGGAGAACCTCGGAATCCACGGGGCCGGCGATGCCGCTGAGACAGCCTGGCGTAGAAGACGTTACAGAATCCATTTTATGTCCCGTCGTATACTGGGACGCTGAGCAAAACAATTGATTGCTCTTCTAAATTGACTTCCATTACTAACCGTGTACCATCTGAGTTTTATCAATGAATACGTTGGGCCAAGTTGAACATCTAAACACAGACATATAGATTGGAACCAGATGAAGCAGATTGATGCGTAGGTCATAGGGGGTGTGCAAACTTAGTAGGGGGCCACGCGGCGGCGAGGCGCTTGTTTGAATGCGCCCCGAAGGCTTGGCTCACGGCGCCTATATTTCGAAAATGCCACGGTGCGACGAAATGGTACCGGCCTCCATGACGAAGCCTCAGAGGTGCAGACGACCAGAGCGCCGCGCTGCAGCGTGTCCCCTCCCCTAAGTTAGAGCAACAGTCCCAGCAGGGTGGGCGTGGTCGGAAACGACTGCAATCCCCTCGGCCGATTCCGACCACGCCCACTTCAGCTCCCTCCCTAGCGGCTTTCCAAGGTGAGTTTTTGTTCAGTCACACTTCTTACGTTCTTGACTAGGGGCTGTGACGCTCAAGGTGGGATCAGCGAGGGGGTGCAACCGTTTTCACTACGCGCCTGTGGGACTGTTGGCTTTAAGTATAGGCACTATGAGAGGGTTCGCCGGGGTTTGTCAAGGAGACCGAATGTGGTGGAAAAAAGTTGGGATTATGGTTGCACTTCACATCAAGTGATTGTTGCATCCCAGCTGAGCTGGTAGCATTCTATGGCTGATAGGGTTTCAGTTTTGCACTATATTACGCAGGTTGATTGGCACAGGGGCACAGACAGGCTGCGCAGGTGAGCGTGATGGATGCCCGCATTTTCAGCTACGGCGGAGTTCTATTGGCCTTGCAGCAGGACTTATTAGCGCGTTATTAGTACATTAGGCAGTGTATTAGGTATGCTAGATCATCCTGTGGTGGAATTCCTGAATCCGATAAACCGACAGAGAGTTATAGTTGTCATGCACAGTTAGGTATTTTTTGGAGAGGTCATTCAGCAGATGAAGAGTTTCCTGGTCAAGTGGAGTAGAGTGACCGGGGACGTACTACAGTCCATGACAGAGCAGGTAGTGTGCGTGTGTATGAAACAATAGCGCGGAGGCGGATGCTGGGAGGTAAACTTTATGCATGTTGGGGCTGGGCCAGGGTGCATCGGTCGAAGAAGATTGTCGGACGAGTTCTTCGGCTTTCCTGCTGTCGATTGCGCTCTACGCGCCATTCCGAATTCTCGCCGGCGCGAGCGTGTGCTGTACTCTGCCGAATGAATAATATACGAAAGAAGGTAACAAAGCGTAAGAGCAATGAATATGCTAAAAAGCCAATAGAGGATCTACAGAAAAAAATAAAAAAAGATAGAGATTCAGATGCGATACAAATATGGCTTTAGATTATGGTTGGAATCTCTTTTAGTTGTTGTGGATAGTGATTGGTTTTATACAGTAAACCAGCCTTCTTTACAACTTTTTTTTGGTTTGTTAATGCTAAAGCCTTGGGTGCCAAAAATTGGCGCGAGAAGCAGACTTTTTGCTGACAAGAATGCCCGCCTTTTTTAAACAATCAATCGATACTTTTGTTGGAGAGCGCCACCATTTCCTTTCACGTCAACTCCAAGACCAGTGAACCTTCAAATCGTAGGTATTACTTATCCTATTTATATCCCCAGTAGTCGATTTTCATGTGCTCAGGGGTCATCGTTGTCAGATTCACTAGCCTCACTCACTGTGGATGAAATGTCACACAATTTTTCACCGTTCTTTCCCTGGGGTTTTCAATGCACCATAGTTTTGAAGATACTGCTTCTGATTGAAGTCAATCTTTCATCGGAAGACAACACTCAGATGATTAGTTTGTGACTGTTTATTGAGATTGTTGACATTGATAGCAGTTGTTTACTTCCAAACAGCTACGAGAACAATTTTCGATTGAAGAGCTTTGTTTTTGTAAGTATTTAACGATAATTCTAGATATAGCCCTTCTGAATGAGCATACCGCATTTATTCCCGATCAAGATTGCACTACACTGCAGTTTGTTTGGAAGGGTTAGACAAGGCCTTGAAATAATTTTCGCGAAGAAATCTCCTTTAGAACTACTGTCTCCGTGTTCTGCCCGGTTAGCGAATGATCCCTTTTCGAAGGGAAAGTTACGAAACCGTTACGAAAACATTGTCAAAATCGCGAGAGATGAAGTTAAGTTTTCAATTCGGCGCTACTGTAGTTGGGAGGGCAGCCGGCGGCGTCCATTATCTGTTCGTCATCGCCTGTCAAAGTGAAGGTTTCTAAGTCTGATGTCTGTCTGATTCACTAGCCCACTCCCGGGGATGAAATGTCACTATAGGAGGGGAGAGTGTTACAAAACGAGCGATATCTGTGGGAACATCTGGAAATAGACCGTGCAGGTGAGAGTGTCCGAGATGGTCACGAATTATTGTCATGGCTTTCCGGCCATGACGAGGACTGAAAACCCACATCCCTATAGGCTAAACTCTACACTTACAATGAATAAGTGCCGATTTGCGGCACATAATTCGAATTTACTGCGTACAGATGACAATCCATTCCAACAAGCCTGCCCACCGGGTCGCCGACTCGCATATACGT